GAAAAAAATGCCTTTTCTCTCCCTCTTCTATTGTGGCCTAGGAAAACAGCTTACATGATGTGCAGCATGCCTGTGCAATATTTCTGGCTCTTGTCTCTTATAGACTTAATTACATGATGAAAACTGCTTTGTTCCTCCCTTTACATTGCGGGCATGTAAAACCACTTAACATGATACACTGTAATTTTTATTTCACAATAAAAACTGCCCTCTCTCTCTCTCTCTCTCTCTGAGAAACGGCTTACATAATGTGCTGCCAGTCTGTACAATATTTATGTCTGCTGTCTCTAAATATAATACACTCTAAATGTTATTTCTTGATAAAGAAATGACTCACCATTACCTCTTACATTGCTGCCCAATAAAACTGCTTACATACTTTACCACCACTGTGTTTTTTTAAGTTGAAATGATTGGGGGGCTGCTGATGTATATAAGCCAATATAAGGAAGACATTACAATCACAATACAATTCAAGACAAGATGGTAAGGAGGGCCCTGCCTGTGAGGGCTTACAATCTAAAAGGGAGGGGCCAGTGATACATGTGAAGGTAGCTGTTTGGGGAATTTGAAGCATTTTATGTATACGAATTTTTGAATGACAGAAATGACGAATGCAAATGAATCCAAATTTCCCATACCGAAATTCGTTAGCAGTAGTCTGTATGAATTTTCGTTTGTGGATGAATTGTAGCAAAGTGACATTAGAGGGGAAAAAAAAGAATTTTAGGCCTGGTAAGAATGTTAGGAGGGGGTGTCCCAAGTTAAAACAAAAAAAAGTGTGTGTGGTTCCCCCAAAATCCATACCAGGCCCTTAAGGTCTTGTAGGAATTTTACGGGGGAACCCCAGCCCACCCAAAATGGGGGGGGGAAATGTGGGGTCCCCCTAAAATTCCTACCAGACCCTTGATCCGAGCACAGGCCCGGCAGGGCAGGAAAGGGGGGGGGGATTGAGCGCCCCTCCCTGCACCTTACCAGGCCACGTGCCCTTGGCTTTGGGAGGGTATCCCCATGCCGATGGGGACAAGGGCCTCTTCCCCACAACCCTGACCCGGTGGTTGTGGGGATCTGCGGGCAAGGGGGCTTATTTGCATCAGGGTACCCCTTTAATTAGGGGGGGAACCAGATGCCGCTGCCCCCTTGTGAATGAGTAAATAAGTAAAGTAAATAAACAAACCACACTTTTAGAAAAAACCCTTTAATTGGAAAAAAAAAGTCAATTTTTGACTATTCCTTTAATTAAAAAAATGGCTCCATCAATGTAATCCAGCGTCAATACAATTCATACCGCTTGCCGACCCACCAAAATAAAAAAGTCCCGTTGCGTGACGGAAACTCGCCGCACAATGACATCTCCTGCCCGATAGTAAACAGATGGGCGGAGTGAGCCGTGACGGCACGGGGCTCGCTCCACCCATTTGACATTGTCAGCTTTTAAATAGTGTACCGCATAGCATTCGGGTCTGTGAGCCGAGGTGCCATAATACTTTTCATATGACACCTCTGAAATAATGCAAAATCCGAATGAAAACGAAAGTAAATGAATTTGTTGCCGGTGCACATGTCTATTGGTTAGAATCATGTATTCCTAAACAGCTTAATTAATCTCCCATAAATGATATTCCTTTACTGTAATTACGGAAATAGAATTCAGTTGACCCAGGTCCATGTTCCAATGGGCACGCCTTTTTTACCGCACACCCAGATATTTGGCTGCATTTCTACATTTTCTTTCTAGTTTGCAGTATTAAGCGATTTCAGCGCCAACTTCACTCTGTTGTTACAATATTACAAAGCAATATAAATCATTTTAAGAAGAAGAAAAGAAGCTGTAATCTTCCCTTGTACTTTTGGCTTATACTGTGATTATGTGATAATGCTCCTGTCAGCACTTGTGTTGAAATAGACGGTTTCTCTGAGTTTTGTACAGCCTTAAGCAACAACTTCATTGTTACGTTTGGAGGGTGCTGCATTATTATTCCATACTGGTTTCTTTCTCTTGAATTCCAAGCCAGAAGTATGCTACGAGTCTACAGACACAAAGCCTCAGGCAACTTGTGCCCATCATTTAACCACAGCATAAACCATAACAAGCAGATAAACATACTTGTAAATGTAGCCGGATTATTGTTATGGTAGCAAAGTGTTCCCAAATGATATGTCTGACATCACACTGGCCTGAAAGACATATTTTTAATTGGCAAGTAACCAGGGGCAATGTGGCGGATCACAGAGTTGTTGGTATGGTTGGGGTAGCAGGCATCATTACCTATCCTGGGATTTCTGTTTTCTGTGTGTGCTTGTGTTGAGCCTGCACAAATCAACATTTTATCAACGCAGCTCAGTGGACATGTTGTGAACGACCCAGATTGTGAATCCAGATCAAACAAATATACATTGCCCGGCAAATCATTGCTTTACATTTCTGCCCAAACACTTACAGTCATCATGTTTCTAAACAGCTGTTTCCAAGTGTCTCAGCTCAGCTTCCCCGAACTTTCTTGTCCAGTACAAGATCACAAAGGACAGTGCTTACTCCAGCAACTATTCATCTACTAGCTTGGAGAAGGGGGTAGGGGGGGTATGGGTAGGGAATTAGCTTGAGTTGCTGTGCCTGTGTGTGGCAAAAACCTGCATTCCATCGCACTCCTGACCGGATGGAAGCCCAGATACAACAGGGCGGGTGCGGCAGTGACAGCAGATGCCTCCGCAAAACACAAGTCCAAACAGAAAGTCACTCCCCGTCCAATGGATAGCAGATGCCTCCGCAAAACACAAGTCCAAACAGAAAGTCACTCCCAGTCCAATGCAACGCCAAGTTAATATTGTTTATTGACTAAAAATAGTGTAAAATGCTACACTATTTTTAGTCAATAAACAAGATTGACTTGGCATTGCATTGGAGTGCGAGTGACTTTCTGTTTGCCCTTGTGTATTTGTGGAGACACACACAGCTTACAAGCACACACAAGGGTGGCTCCATATCACTCTGCTTGAGAAAGGAGCCACCCTAACACATGATATCAGGGCCAGTGCTCAGGGGACCGGCTGATTCTGCAGGAAACTAAAACATTTGGGGGGGGGGCAGCGAGGAAGAAGAGGCCCCCCCGAGATCGTGCGGCTCCTTCCCTGCTGCACAGCCATCCGCAGCATGTACGGGCGGCTGTACGGTGCGGATGGAGAGGCTATCACCAGTCCCGCAGAATGTGCTGCATGCACCTTCTGCTGTGTGAGGACCCTTTCCTCTTAGCCCCGCCCCATGGCCGCCTGAACGCCGACGTAGTCGAATTTGCCGACCTCAGCATCTGCGTGTGTGCACAGACCAATATTATCGAGGAAACCGGGATTTATTCACAAAGTATTTTGTTTGAATTGTTAATTGTGACCGTTAATAATATGCCACCCATCATTTCCTGCCATGGATGGCGTGTTATTAACAGTCACAATTAACCATTACAAATGAATACTTTGTAAATAAATGCCGGTTTCCTCGTTAATCCCGTCTGTAAGTAAGCGCAGATACTAGGTTGGCGTTCTCGACAGAACACAGACACTAACATTTTAAACAAGAGGCTGCCTGAGGTCCCGTGCTTGCTGGGGACCTCGGCAGCCTTCCGGTTAACCATGCGGTGCCATGGGGGGGCCCTTCATGGTTTCTTGCACCGCGGGCCATGAAGGTTCTAGTTACACATCTGTATAAATGTGAAGGTTTTGAATGAACTCCAGGAAGGATCTTTTATTGACACTTACGTTGTCTGCCTGATCTGCATGACTCAATGTAAGTATGCATATCTGATATTCGGATGACCGTCTGGGATACTGAAAATCACTAGTCCATTGTACAAACAGTCAGTGCTGGCCTCTTGCTGACTGTGACTCCAGCGGCTTCTCCTCTGCACACTGAGCACAGGGAGTGCTCACTCAGCACCTCCGCCATTCAAAGAAAGCCTTGTATATTTTCAGTTAATACAAGGCTTTCTGTGATTGGGCAAGGTGGAGAGCAGGGGAGGATGATGTCATGATCTCCACCTTGTGCAATCAGAAAACTTCTTGTATTCATTGATATAAGTACAAGGCACTTTCTGCATGTCGGTCGTGCCCAGCGGGCTACTCCCTGTGCTCAGTGTGCAGAGGGGAAGCCTTTCAAAATGAAGCTGGAAAATATCAGCCATCACATATCACGCTATGTACCGCACACTGCTGCAGTGATTTTTAGAATCCCCAGCAGCCCTCTGGAGATCAGTGATGGATACTCACATTGAACCAGGCTGGACCAATATGAGTATCCATAATAAATAGTTCCTGGATTTCTGCTTTAAGGAATTTTCTCAAGCATTGAAGCGCTTTATTATCTCTTCCTGAAGCTTCAAGTCCATTTCCACCTTTGTAAGTGATTAGCATTTATTGTGGTAATGAAGAGGTGCAGTTATGATGTATACATGTCCTGATTTTCATGGCTCACATTGCAGGCTTTCTTCAATTTTATATGAAGGATTTATTTGGCCTGAAGCCTAAAAATTCTACATTTTGTCCACAGGAAAATCAGTCTGACACCAGGGTGTTAAGGCTGTGACACACTGCAGGCATAGCGATGCGAAGTGAAGCCATGCGAAGCAATGCAAAGCGAAAAATTTGAAACCTTCCACTTCACACTGAGCTGCACCGCAGCTTGTCTACACTGTAGTTTGTACTGTATTTTTTATGGTTCCCTTTAAAGATTCTGCTTGTCATGGATACCGCTACAGAGTGGTTAAACCAGGTCGATTTTGGGACAGTGGTGGAGAGCCAGGGCCCAGTCGCAGCTGCAAACGCTACCACCCTGGTAGTTCTGCCACTGGCTCCAGGCTGTAGAGGGACTACAAGTTTCAGCAACACGTTATACAGGGTTATTCAAAAAGGATGAACCGATTTCTTTACGCAATATTTTATTAAGGAACAGTAATACAAAACTCCAGCCTAGTCACAAGTATTATACTCACAATCATCTTTTATTTCCTGCCTTACAAGTGTTCAATGTGACCACCATCTGCAGCACGGGCAACATCAATGCGATAAGAGAATTCCTCCCAGGTGCGTATCAGCATATCCCGATCCACTGAGTTGATCGCTGTTGTTATTCGATGTTTAAGGTTATCGAGGTTAGTGGGTAGCGGTGGAACATAAACGCGGTCTTTTACATATCCACCACAAGAAAAAAATCACACAAGGTGAGGTCTGGGTAGGGTTGCCACCTTTTCATCAAGCAAAACCCGAACGCTCTAGCGACGCGCAGACATTTTTTTGGCGGCTTATTCATATTTAAATAGCGCCACCCATTAATATGTAAATATCACAGTCGAGACTGTACAGTGAAGGGCCAGTAGCCTCTATCTTAATTTTGGTTGCCCCCGTCTGCCTGACATCTTGTGTCCGGGTTTCTGCTGCCATGAAACCCGGACACAGCATTCAAAACCCGAACTGTCCGGGTGAATCCTGGACGGGTGGCAACCCTAGGTCTGGGGATCTCACAGGCCAAGCACATAGAGCAAGGTCATTGGCCCCCTTCTGACCAATCCATCGCTGGGGCACTTTTTCATTTAAAAAAGCTCGAACCATTAGGTGCCAATGGGGCGGTGCTCCATCTTGTTGAAAAATGAAGTCATGCAAATCTGCTTGCAGTGAAGTGAAGAGCACGTTTTGGAGCATATCGAGATAGGTTTGTCTTGTAACGGTGTTTCCTCCAAAGAAGAAGGGACCATAAACCTCATCCCATGACGATGCTTGAGAACTGAAGTAATGCGTCATGATATCGGTTCATTCTTTTTGAATAACCCTGTATACTGTAGCAATGCAGCACAATATTAAGCTGAAGCCTCTCCAGGGCTGCGTGCGGGTCTCCCCATGGCTGTGTGGGCAGCGGATGTCACCAGTACTGTGTGGGCATCAGGAAGGAGGAGGTGTACATGTGGGGCCTGACCAGTGTTGTGTACTAGCGCTGGGAAGGTCCCCACAAAGCTACCGTGAGGTCTTCAGCAATTGTGAGACCTTACGGCAGCCAAAATAATGAAAACATTTAAAGTAACATTATTTGCTTTATTGGGGCATTTTTTGTGGTAGAGTACTCATGAAAATGCCTAGTATCGGCAACGATACCAATACTGGTATCGATATTGGTGCATCCCTAGTCAGTGCTGTTTTGGCAAAAAAATTGCTGTTTTGGTGTAAATGCCATGATTTAATGTTTAATTATTTAATTAATACATATTCTTTTAATTATTTAAAATGAATTATTATTATTTCAATAATTAATATGTAATTAAATAT